AATTGTGGTGCTGGAGGAGGCTCTTGAGAGTCCCCTGGACTGCAAGGAGAACAAACCTATCAATTCTAAAGGAAATCAACCCTGAGTGCTCACTGGAAGGACAGATCCTGAAGCTGAGGCTCCAATACTTTGGCCATCTCATGAGAAGGGAAGACTCCCTGGAAAAGACCTTAATGTTGGGAAAGTGTGAAGGCAAGAGGAGAAGGGGACGACAGAGGATGAGATGGTTGGACAGTGTCACCGAAGCAACCAACATGAATCTGACCCAACTCTGGGAGGCAGTGGAAGATAGGAGGGCCTGGCGTGCTCTGGTCCATGGGGTCACGAAGAGTCAGACACCACTAAACGACTAAATGAAACGAATAGTCTCCTTTGAATCTAGTGTTGTTTTCAAGTTATTCTTTACAAGATTGCATCATTTGTTTTCCATGTTCGTTTTATGTTCCTAGTCCATATTTTCTAATGAATTCTTAGGTTTGCTTCTCTCCGTGTTTTAGTAAGCTCTACAGAGAAGATATGCACTTAAACTAATGAAATTGTAGGTCTGAAGTTGTTTGACTCCTATTGGTAGTCACCAGTTTGAATCATCCTCTACTTAACTCCATTCTTCCTTCTCTCTGTGCTTCAGCTCTTGCTTTCATGATTCTAAATTGCTGGAAATAATTTATGCAGTTATGTTGTGTTGTCTTCCAGCTGCAGCATAATCATTTAGAGAATTTGGTATATATGGCTCAGTTCTTTTGTAAAAATACATTGGTTAAAGTATTTTGTCTCCTTCTCTTGCATGGTAATGTAGATTCAGGAAAAGAAACACAGTGGTGGAATCATTGTCTAGTTTGGTTTCCAAACAGTCTGTAGATCAGCTAAGTGAAGGTAAGAAAATATGAGGCAAGTAAGACATTCTTTTTCTAAGCAAGAGTGGGCAATGTGGGGCACCCCAGCAGCCCCCTGCAGGTCCACACACCAAAATATTTTAAAGTGTGAAAAGCTCCCCTCACATCCCATAGGAAGTAAGGGGATGATTTTCCTGTATTTTGAGTGTGGTCCAGCATCTTTGCCCCCCTGAAATTTAATTTTTTTAAATGAATACTTTTGCTAATAGAGGGCTCAATTTTTGTAAAAACAAAACAAAACCTGGGAAAAAATGTTTGGGAGGTTATGATCATGGAAGCAGTTGTGGCCTTCCAAAGTTTAGGAAAGGGCATATGTGGCCTCCAGACTTCTAAAGGTTGCCCACTCCTGCTGTAAAGTAGGTATATTTTGCTGGTATAAGTGAATAGATGGACTGCTTCACAGCATTTTAGGATAAAGAATTGTAAGGAAAAAATGGTAGCTTTATTTATTCAATGCACATTGAGTTTGGAAATAGCAAAATCTGTCTGGCTTCTATTTTCCTTTCTATCTGAACTTGTGTATGTTTCTTAATATAGGAAAATCTTCCTTTTGGACAATGATCCTATAGTCTGCATCAGCATTCTCTGATCAGAAAGTTCTATACTCATTGAGTTGTTCTGTTTCTTCCAGAAGCATTACTTCTGGTAGCAGGTGAATCACCAAATTCTGTTGTAGCCTGAAAGATACTAATTACTACAGCCCTGCTGGATTACTACATGCTGTATGAGAGACTGCCTTTGAAAAGTGTTCAGAAACTCAAGCAGATCCAAATTGCAGCAGTCAGATTGCCACTTGGAGCTGGTTAAAAGGATCACATATTCCCTCTGCTACAGCAGCTCCACTGTCTGCTGATCCATTTCCAGGCACATTTTAAAGAGTTGGTTCTAACCTATAAAGCCCTGAGCAGCTTGGTTCTAAGCTGTCTCAAAGATTGCATCTCCTTTTATGAGCCTGCCTAGATGTTAAGATCATCAAGGGAGGACTTTTTGTCCCATCACCCTCACAGTTGTGTTTTGTTGGGGATATGGGAGAAGCCCTTTTCTTTTACTGCTCCCAGACATAAGAACTCCCTCCCACAGGAGGCCAGACTCATGCCATCTTTGCTTCTGCAAGCAGGCAAAGACCTTACTGTTTAGGCAGGCTTCTCCTTAGTGACTGGCTGCCTAAGAGAAGTTTTAAAATAAGTTAGATTTGTTTCATTTTGTTTTGTTTTTGTTTTTAAATCTGTTTTAATGCTTTTGCCTAACATTTTAATGTGTTTACTTAATTCTTTTAAATATTAGAATCATTTATTGTTATCTTTTAATATTGTGTTTTAATGATGTAAGCTGCCGTGAGTCCTTTTTTAGGAGAAAGGCAGGGTAAAAATATTTTAAATAAATAATAGTGTAGGACTTTGTCATTTCTCTTAGCATTATGTTAGCAATAGCATTATCATCTGTTTTTATCTAACAATCTGGCTTACTAACCAGCACTGATGCAGTTTGGTTATTTGGAGGTAGATGTTTAATTTGTACTTAGATTTGTGAAAGTATTTATATGTATTTCTGTGCTTCCAAACCAGAGAGGGGAAAAACAAACGTGCAGAAAATAAATGGATGTGACCTGGGATTGTAGGGTGCTACTCAGTGATATCAACTACTCAAACTTCAGTATGCATGCAAAGCACCTACCAGTTTTCTTTTCCCCTTCTTTCCTTCCTTTCTCTCTCCTTGGAGTTTTGCACTCTTTGCTCAGCTCTTGCCTTTCAATGAATCTCCCATACCTCATTTGTGTAACCTCTGAAAGAAAAGCTGATGAGAGATTCAGACTCCCATCAGCCAGGCACTGTTGCCCTGGTGACACTCTTCCCTTTAATTTTTGATGTGACGCGTAGGACTATCATTGCTCCTCTAAAGATTTTGGGTGTTATATGGTACTTTGTATTAAATCCAATTTTTATTTTTTTAATAGAGGAAATGCATGCAGAAATCTGTTATGCTGAATGTTTACTACAGAAAGCGGCACTGACATTTGTACAGGTAATACAGGTTTTACATATCAGCACTCTAAGTAAATTTAGTCCTTTCAGTTGTTCTGGAATATCCTTTGTTTAACAGGTTCTGTTCCGCAAAAGTAGGGGTCTCCAAACTTTTGACCATGAGGGCGACACTGGGTATTTTCAACATTTTTGAGGGCTGAAGGAAGATGAACTTGCACACACTTGCGCATGTGGCCACCTTCCCGCCTGCATGCATGGACACCCACACTCACCCCCACCCACCTACACACAGAAGGGAATGAAACAGATAAAATGGCAAGGTGGGCCGGATGTGACCCACAGGCTGTAGTTTGGAGACCCCTGCTCAAAAACAAACTGTTTCTAGTATCTTAAGGAAGATGCAGGGACCAAGAGAAAGCTTGTATGGTGTGGTGGTTATTATTTATTTATTTATTCTATTTATATCCCACCTATCTAGTCGATTAAGACCACTCTAGGCAGCTTACAACAATGAATAAAAGCAGTTTTACATAAAAGAAAACTTTCAACAATTGGGTTAGACACTAGGAAAGAAAAGAAAAGGGGAATTAGGAATTAACTAGGGGGGAAGGCCTGCCGAAACATCAGTGTTTTTATTTGATTTTTGAAGATACCCAGCGAGGGGGCCGCGCGAATATCAGGGGGTAAGTTGCTCCAGAGGCGAGCAAAGAGAAGGGGCCACTGTTGAGAAGGCCTGGTGTCTTGTTTTTTCTTTCCAGACCTCCCTCGGCGTTAGGCTCCTCAGCCTCACCTCCAGGCTCGCGTGAGTGACACGGGTAGATCTTGGTGGGAGAAGGCATTCTGTCAAGTATCGAGGCCCTAAACTGTTTAGGGCTTTATACGTGAAGTCGATGCGGAATCGGATGGGCAGCCATTGCAATGCGGCCAGAGTGGGTGAAATGTGTTGGTATTTTTTCACCCCACTAAGAAGTCTGGCCGCCGCATTCTGCACCACCTGAAGTTTCCGCAGCAGCCTCAAAGGCAGCCCCACGTAGAGCGCATTACAGTGGTCTAATCTTGAGATTATGAGCACATGCACCAAAGTGGTGAGCGCCCCAACATCGAGATAGGGCCGCAGCTGGGCTACCCACCTGAGATGGTAGAAGGCAGTTTGGACCACCGACGCCACCTGGGATTCCATAGTGAGCGCCGGGTCGAGCAGGATCCCCAAGCTGCGGACCCCATCCTTAG